GATCTCAAATGAAGGAGGGAGTACACAATAGCCCCTCTGCCTAAGGGAGACCTTCCTCCTCTGCTATCCTTCCACTGAGCCCCTGACACAACTGTGCCCATCTGGAGGTCTGATAGCCAGAATCAGAAGCCTTAAACATGTGATAACCTAATTTTCACCCCTTTCCTCAGTTTGAGGCTGTTTTCTCAGAAGTTTCAACTCCTTTCAACTATTTACAGTAGCTAAAATGCCTTTCATACCACAACTTTTTTTATACATTGGAGAAAAGAACATTTTCCTTTATAACAATATGTTTCTAGGATAACTGTCAGACAAAGTACTTTATTTCTATATAAAGCAGTATAATAAAGGGCTTTTTTCCTCTTTCCTTATCTCTGCTTGTAGTTTTGATCATATACTTTATTGATATCATGTATTTTTAAATATTTCATGTTCCCTTACCTTTGCTGACAGTGGCTACTGCAGAGAAATTATACACTACCTAAATTCAAGTCAATTTTTTTGAATCAATTTTGTATCAATGTTCCTAGTGTAAGATGACTATGTGAGTAATTTCCTCTGGACTGCTGTCTTTCAAAAATTATTTATTAAATATCTCAGAGAATGTGAATTTATGAATGTGCATTCATTGCATTAAATCTCAAAATAGAAAAAGTTAAAAAGTCAATAGTAGTCGATACATAAACAGCTGGCAGAGCTTATATTTCAAGAGCATTCAGATTTGGTGTAGAAAAGGTTTTGGCCTTTTAGTCTTTCTAGCAAACACAAAGCAAGTTCACATATCCTTTGCAAATCTTTATATAAAAAATAAACCTTTTTTTAACAAGATTTATGTTCAGAAGAGGCATTCCTGCAAAGCCAAATAAGGAGTATATTGCATTACAAAGATATTCAGAGCATTGTTTCCAATCCTATCTCAGTCATGATCTTTCTGCAACTAAAACGTAAATAATAAGATAGCAATAGTCAGTAGTAACACCAGAATCACAAACTACCATAAAATCCATGATTTTATCTGTATTATCTATGGCAGTTAAATGCAATGCCATGTAAACAGAGATTTCCCACTGTGTGCATTTACAAGATTGGTGCCAGCACTCTAACGAAATCCACCCACAGAAGCAGAGGATAAGTGAGCACATCGCAAAGTTCCTGGGAACCAGTCTGACCATGACTACAGTGATCTGAACCTAAGTGCTCTTCATTTCTTTCCAGATGTGTGCACTTTGATACAAAATGAAATGTCCTATAAAATGAAGATTTATCCATTCAAATTGGCATTAGCTTATGCTTCCCATTCCAGAGAGTTTGACACTGTACAATAATGTGGAATGGAAAAATATAGGAATAATAACAAAACCAAAAATGTTCTGATAATTCTTCATCATTCTAAGTTATATCATTTGAATGTTTTTAGCTATGCAAATATGTAAAATTTTATGCTTAATCGTTCTTTGTTTAGAAAAACTCTTCAAGCAGGACAAGTGTTTGCTAAGAATATAAAATGAATGCTGTCATTGAGTATATACAAAATGTTCTACTATCTGATATTTCTCATTGGGACCATCCAGACTCTTCCAAATATGGTGAAATTTAATTAAGTGGTTTGCAAATCAAAATCCCACACTAAAATAAGAAAATAAAATATAAAAAAGGAGGTTTTCTCACAGTTTCTGCATCAGAAACTTTTCATGCTATGAAGACCAATCAATGACTTTAACTTTGTCTCTTACGCCTTGAATTTCTACGCATCACTGGGAAAGAGACCTTCAAAGAAACAATAAGGACAACAGTACCATATATCACGATAGAGTCTCTTTGTAGATGCAAGATTAACTTGATAGACCAAAGGGATAAACAGGCTTCTGCAGAGCTTGAGTCATTGCAGGCAGTTTCTCTGGAGTATCAGTATGGGAAATTTATAACTTTTGCCCTATATATAATATATGTGCTGGTTCTAAAGAGACCCTAAGTTTTTATTACTTCTTACTTGACCATTAATTCTATTCAGATTTGTCTACCTGTTTATTTCCACAACAGCCACAACCATTGTGGTCTACTACTGACTTCAGATAGCACTTTGCTTAACTTTCAGAAAATTCAGGCTTTACTGATTTGTTAGGCACACAAAGTAACAGTATCCAATATTAAAGTAAGGAGTTGAAATTAAAGTCATGCTTTCCAGGAAGACCTAAGCTGCTTTGAACAGTCTTTTCTTGTTTTATCCTGTAATTCTCTGATACCGTTCTCATTTTCTTATTACATTAAGTTAATAAATGTAATAAGATATGACCATCTAGAGATGAGATCTTTCATCTGTTTTTTTTTTGCCTATGGAAATAAACGCGAGGAATTGATTGTTGAAGAACTGCCTAGAAAAGTAGCAAGAGATGATACTTAAATCTTCTGCAATATATTCTCCAATGTAAATAGATTTCTTGTTTTATTTTCTACTATTGCATTTGCTATGCTTTGCCTTTTATTTTGGAAAATCCATGTATGTTTGCCAAGCCATACCTTCCACATGTTGTCATTCATAATTTTGTTTTCTATCATCTACACTACAGTATAAAGGTCAGAGTTTAGATATTACAGCTCAGTATGTGGTTTCGACCCTGACCTGGTTCTAAACTCAGATATACATAAAGAGGGAAGTTTTTTTATTTGCAAACAAGTGATGATTTTTTTCATTGCTGTACTCTGGGAAGCTTTCTGAAGACAAATACAAGTCTATAATCACTATCGTTGGCAGTGAACAAGGAAGAACAGAGGGGAGGAAGGAGAAGTAAGTGATGTATTTTGAACATCAGAGATTGTAGAGTAAAACCTTTTGGTGTTGATGAATTTTGAGTCCTTTCTTCTCTTTCATGCAAGAAAGAGAGAGACTTGGTGTCTTGTAATAGAAAGGCTTTGTCCAGCAGAAAAAAACAAACCAAAATAAAACCTCAAACCAAAACCAAAACCAAAACCAAACCAAAACAAAACAACAACAAAACAAGAAAAAAGGAAACCAAAAAGCTTGTTTAGATTTAATCTTAACTTATTTACATAGTAGCACTACTTAATATATGTTTCATAACAGTGAAAGAATGTCAGGACTTGCATACAGCTTTTTTTCCGGGTCAGCAAAGAACTGAAGAAGACCTAGAAGTTTATCAAGGTATATTCATGATAGAGAACAGAGGATTCAGCTTGATGTAAACAGGTAGAAAAGTGACAACATTAGCATCTCTATATGGATAAGAAGCAGCTGGGGATATGAAAGTATTTCTTTAGTAGTTTGAAAAAATGCAACATTGAGTCAGAAATCTTATAAAATTGTAAAAGATGTACTCTGTATTCATTTTACCCAGTCATTTGATTGGTTATCATTTTCTGTACACCACAGGGAATCTCAAAAAGGAGCCTTTATTTGCTCTGAAACAAAAACAGGCATTGATTATGAAAGTGAGAAAAATATGAGATTCATAATTTACATAAAAGACATTTCCACATACTATACCCTCATGTCTTCATACTGTGTATATTTATAAGATATAATTTAGGATTGCTCAATGATTTCATTTAGATGACCTTATTTACTTTCTCAGTTTTAAACTATTTATTTGGATTATTTTTAACAGCATTTGCTTCTGTTCCTGGTTTTTCTTAACAGTTTAAATAAAATGTTTCATCCATGTCTAATAAAGAAGTTAGAAGAAACATGGATTTGCTCACGTTGAAACATTTTAATGCTAATTTTGGTGTGAAAAGCCATTGTTTTTGCACTGAAAAGATTTAAGCTGATGGAGAAGCCATCTACCATTTAATTTGTGGACAGAAAGTGCCACTGAGATAAAATAGATTAACAACTAGACCTCTCCTTGAGATACTAAGCAAATTTAACCCATAAATATATGCCTGCTTTCTGTTTTGAGAGACAAAACTCTCTCAAGATTGCATCTTCTGAGCCTGCTTAATTCTGTCATGCAAATCATCAACTCACTTTGTAGATGTAGAATAAATAACATGACATAGGATAATGTCAGTGCCATGGCACACTTACTCTTTCTTCCTAGCATTATTCCCACAGACATTGCTGCAGTGGCCGCTGAAATAACAAAGATCTTAAATTTCAGCTATTTTGAACATCAGCATAAAGGAGAAGAAGTGACAACACAATGTAAAAATTAAGGATAAACTTACTCATTCTCAACTAAAAATTAAGGATTAACTTACGAAAAAAGGTGGAGATGCAGTGGCATTCCTCTGTGGTGGTACATTTGCACTCTCTTTCTCCTCAAGTCACTCTATGATCTTGAGGAATTCTCATTAGGTCCCTGTCTTGAGTAAAGAGTTGGGTGATGAGCTTCCTTATCAGAAACCTTATCAGAAACCCATGCACAACTAAGGTGGAGAAGGCACTGCCTGTACTAAGAGCTCCTGTTGCCTAAGCAAGGAGCAGGACAAGAGCTTTTCAGTCATCCCCTGATAGCCTAGGAGCACTGACAGGTGACTTAAGCCAAACACCTCATGACCCTATGAGAAGAAGTCCTAAGTGAGGCCCTTTGATCTCTCCAGGGCTGCTGCAGCTGCACCAACACCTCCTTCTCAGGGCTTACCAACTCTCCAATTTTCGACACTCGAAGGACCATTGCCGAAGCTGCTGATGGGATCTGGACTGATACCCCTGACTCTTGGCATCACAGCCTTTGCCTGTTGAGCATTGACAGGGCACCTGACATGAGTATCTCACTGAACTTGAGGGGCATTTTTAATAGTTATATAAATATTTGTAGGTAATTCTCTGTGTCTGTATGTATGCATGTGTGAATTGGATTTAAATACCTTGTAGCAAGCAGAGTATGAATATTTCCACCTCAGATCTATAAGTTGCTACTGTGATCATAGTAAATCCTACTGTATCATTTTTTAAGTGTTAAAACAGTCAACAAGTAAGTGCTACTGCTAAATTTTCAAAAATTTGCATTAAAACTTGCTTTACAGATACATTTGACAGTGATTCTTTAAGTGGCTAACCACTCATTCATGACATCATAAAGACGACTGGAAAGAGGGCCAGGAGTGGCAGAGAGACAACAAGGTGGTAAGTAACAGGACAGAAAAAAGTTGGTTGCTGTGGGACTACACATAGATATTCCATATTCCTGATTTATCATTATTTATTATCTATCATGAGCCAGTCAGAATAAAAAAATGATAGCCTGTTATTGTTGGTTTATTATTAGTTGTGTTATATTTGCTGGATATATTTGTCAAGCTCAAAATCCAGACTTGCTGTTATGATCTTACTTTCACACATTTGCATATATAAAAAGAGTTACAAGGATGTTTTCAATAGTCTCTGTGTTCATTCAGGAACCCAATCAAAAAGTTTCTGAATAAAAAAAAAAAAAACAACAGAGCAAAAAGACTATGTGGAATAGATTTTTTTTTTTTTTTTAATGTGTAAGTTTAAGGACGTTTTGGTTTTGTTTGAGCAAAGATGGCACTAAATAGTACTACTTTCCATATGCTCTTACAGATATGGTGGCTGGCTCTGGATTCCAGAAATTGTCAATTCCTGTCTTTCTTGAGCTGCACTGATGCTTTGACATAAACTACTCGATAACCCATGAAGTGGCAGTAAGTGGCTGGGGGTATCACCTTATTGGACATATTTTAAAAACAGATACTTGGCTTCATTAGTGTCTTAGAGAATAAACACTCTGTAAGTAATCATCCACCAATAACCTTTAATCTCTGTAATTTTTTGATGACTACTTGGTGATTGACTTCTGCAGAGAGAGAGGGTAAATAGATTTATTTGTCTGTTTCAAAAAAAAAGTCTTCTAAAAAAATTAGAAATTGAGGTACTTTTGCATTTTACGGGTCACCATTGTTCAATTAAAAAAAAAAAAAGAGAAAGAAAAAAAAGATTGGTGGAAAATTAATGCAACTGCAGTTTGAACTGCATTTCTTCTAATGTTTTTTTCTAACAGTATTGCTATGCATAATTTGAGAGTATTCTTCACAGAGCTTGAAGTATTAACAGTTGCCTTCAATGTGATGCTAGATAGATTTTTACTTATCAAAGCCACTTACTCATCTGTTTTAACATGATCTATGTGATTGAGTTAAAAAGTTAAACTTGTTTGAAAGTGAGTGTAATAAAGTTTTTGTCAAGACCTTGACTTTATATTTGATCTCATCCTATTCATTCATGTGGATATACCATCTGCATCAACTTTTTATGACATCAACATCTATTTCTTTTCATTGCTTCAGCAATTGCATCATTTAATGATAATATATCATTAAATTCCAACTACTGCACAGGTTGAAATAATCTTTTAGTAATATTAATCTCTATTTTATTAACAGCCATAATTTCAGTGAGGGGAATGAATTAATTGGAATAAGGGGTGGAGATTGTATTAGGTCTGGCTGAGCTGGAGTTCAGTTCCTCATTATAACCCTCACAGTGCTCTGCTTTGCATTGGTAGCTAGAAGAGTGTTGATAACACACCGGTGTTTTGGCTGCTGCTGACCACAGAATAAGCACTGTAACATTCCTTCCTCAATCGTAGGCCAGCTGACCCGGGATGACCAAAGGGATATTCCAGATCATATGACATCAGCTCAAATGTGAAAGCTAAGGCAAGGAACAGGAGGGGATCATTCATTTTCTCCGATGGCTGCCTGCTGAGGAACCGTCATGCGTGCTGAAGTCCTGCTTCTCAAAGTCCATGGTTGCTGATGGGAAGTAGAGAATAAACCTTGTTATCTTTCACTTTGCTTTTGTGCAAAGGTTGATTCCACCTTACACTCTCCCCTGCCCAGCTGGGAAGGGGAGTGATAGAGCAGCTGGGTGGGCACCTGGCATTCAGCCAAGATCAACCCACCACACTTGCATATCATAGAATTTTAAGAGGTTAGAATGGGCCTTAAAGATCAACTAGACCTAACCCTCCCCTGCCCGGGGCAGGGACACGTCTCACTACACAAGGTTGCTCAAGGCCTCATCCAGCCAAGATCTGAACACTGCTGGGGCTGGGGTATCTAGAACTTCTCTTGAAAACCTGTTCCAGTATCTCAAAATCTCCATGGCAAAGAATTTCTTCCTACTCTCTTTCAGTTTGAAGATATTCCCTTCCTATCACTACAGTTCCTAACGAAGAGTCCCACTTCAGCTTCCCTGTAGGCCCCCCTTCAGAGGCTGGAAGGCTCTTATGAGATCTCCCCAGAACCTTCTCTCCAGGCTGCACAGCCCCAATTTTCTCAACCAATTTTCCCAATTTTCTTTGGGAGGTGTTCCAGTCCTCTTATCCAAGTCGTTGCCCTCCTCTGGACTTGCCCCAACCATTCCATGTCTTTATACTGGTAACACCAGAACTGTAAGCAGTACTCTAAGTGGGGTCTCAAAGAAGGAGTAGAGGATGAGAATCACCTCCTCTGATCTTCTGGGCCCACTCCTTCTGATGCAGCCCAGGATTTGTTGGCTTTCTTCTCTGTGAGTGCACGCTGCTGGGTCATGTTGAGTTTTTCATCAACCATCATCCCCAAGTCTTTCTCCACAGGGCTGCTCTCAATCATTTCTTTGCCCAGCCTGAAGGTGTTGGCTGGGATTGCCATGACCCAGGTGTAGGACTCTTTGCTTCTCTTTGTTGAACTTCATAAGGTTTACCTCTCCAGCATGTCAAGGTTCCTCTGAATGGCATCCCTTCCCTCAAGCTTGTTGACTGCACCACACAGCTCGGTGTCACCAGCACTTTGTGTAACAGCAGCACAGTGTCAGTTGCTCTGCCCCTATCCACCAGTGCTGTAGCCCTGTCATAGTAGGTCACCAGACTTGCTGGACATGATATTCTCTTTGTAAAGCCATGTTGGCTGTTACCAATCACTTCTGCATTTTCCATGTGCCTTAGTATAGTTTCCAGGAGAATTTGCTCCATGATTTTGCCCAGCACATATGTGAGACTGACTGGTCTGTAGTTCTCCAGGTCTTTCACTTTCCCCTTTCTAAAAATGGGGGTTGTATTTCCCTTTTCGAGTCATTAAGGACTTTACCTGACTGCCATGATTTTTCAAAATTCATGCATAGTGGCTTAGCTACTCAGAGACAGCTGCCAGCTCCCTCAGGACCTGTGGATGAATCTTGTCGGGTCCCATGGACTTGTGCACATTTGAGTTCTTTAGAAGGTCTTAAACTCAATTCTCTCCTACTGTGGACTAAAGGTCTTTATTCTCGAAGTCCCTGCATTTGCCTTTCTTGACTTGGGCTGTGTGGCTGGAGCACTTGACACTGAAAACAGAGGGAGAGGAGTTGTTAAGAAACTCAGCCTTCTCTTTATCCAGGGTAACCAGGTCTCTTGCTTCCTTCCAGGGAGGGCCTATGTAATTCCTATTCTTTCTTTTTCTTGTAACATACCTATGGAAGCCCTTCTTATTTTCCCTAATGTCCCTGGCCAGACTCAATTCTAACTGGCCCTTGGCTTCTATAACCTTGTCCATAGCTTCCAGTACAATTTCCCTGTATTCCTCCCAGACTACCAGTCCTCTTCTCCACTTCCAGATGATTTCTTCTTGGTTTTGGCTTCACAGTCAGGATTTCTATTATGGTATCCACATCAGAACAATGAAACAGCACTTGAAGATCTGTAAGATTATGATCAAATAAATTTTGCTAGTTTATATAATTTCTAAAAATCAAACTTTTTTTCAATATCTGTTTAGGTAATATTGATGCTCCTGCACAAAGAGCAATATTTCAAAGCTTTCAGGAAGAAAGAGTGTGTCTGATTCATGTTTGGGACTCATTGAGGGGAGATAACCCAATTTTAAGATGGCCTTGGACATTCTTAAATGAAAGTTTTCATTCAACAAGATGTTGTGTGTGTTATGCTCATAGAAATAGCACCTAGTCATCATAACAAACTTCTACGTAGTTGACTTTTGAAGTTATGCAATCTATAAAAGCCAGTGCTGAACTGGGCCTGTGGAATAAACTGATGTCAGCATTTAAACCTCTTATTAAATTTTTCAAAGATTTAAATGTAGCAAAACGTCACTGATTTTATAAGCCCAATGTGACATTTGTGGCTCAGCCTAGATAAATGGAAAAAAAGGAATCCAAAGAATATAAGAAATAAAGAATATTTTTATTCAAATACCACCTCATATCTCTGCTTTCCATAATAACCTGTTTTCTAATGTTAGGATTTTAATGGTTACCAACAAAGGAGAATGGATATTTTTTCTTTCCATCTTCTCTTTTATTTTCCCCAGTAATCTACTCATTTGCCAGATATGCTACTCATACCAGCTACTTCCATAGGTAATTTAGAACCTTTTTACTACATCTTTGTTCACTCTTTTTTCCTTTCCTCTGAACATATCACCCTCCACCACAATTTATAAAGATTACAAAATATATTTACTAAATTTTCCTGCATATGCTCCATCACTGCTTTGATTCTGACTTTCCAGTTTTATCTAGTTTTTGCCCACCACCATACTGTAAATATATTTTCTTGGGAAGCAGGGAGCTTTTTTTCTCTATTGCTAATTTCTGCACTACTAGTGTTATCTCTTCAGGTGGTTACAGGTACAGATAGTAAAAGGCAGTGACAATCTTCCAACGAACCTGATGTGTAAGCTTGCCCCTGCTGATGGTTTTATCTCATCTACGTGGAGTCAAACCGTGTCACATAATTAGTTCATTGTGTACTTACTCCCCTGTGGCAGGATAAATAAACAGTGTTCACTGCCAGCCTCTGTGCTTCAGAGTTCTTTGGATGCTTCTCTTGGAAAACTGGTAAACAGAAGATTGTATTTTATTTGTTTACTTTAAAATAGTAAATAGCTTGATATTTGCTAGCCTGACTTCTAGTAAAACACTTCCTCATTATTACTTTTTCTTGTCGCCCTGATGAAACTACACTCAGAATCTGTTAGTTCTTTAGTGTTAAATGACAGCCACCAAAAGGAAAATTCTGAGGTCAGGTACGATAGAGGCAAACCAAGTGCTGTCATTTCCAGATAAGCTTTTTCATAGATATTGCTCCTATCCCCTGAGATGACATCTAAAGCCAACCAACAAGGACCCTTGATCCCTCGATTGTTAAAATGAGAAGACCAAACTGGTTTGATGAAGATAAGATTACCGTGTCTCAGATGTGAAACCTAAAATAGAAGAACCAAATTAAATAAAGTAGAATCATGCATAGAGGATTTTGAGGTTGACTTAATGGCATGGTATCACTTTCACTATGTTTAATACCCTTATGAGCTTATTGAGTTGCATTCACAGTGTCAATTTCTTTCAGAGCAATCTTTATCAAAATGCATCAGTTAATTTTTGTCTTCAGGGTACAATAATTATGCAGACATACTGCAAAAAAAATTATTCAGTACACACATCTGAAAATGCCACACTGCACACATTTAAATTTAGTTCTTTCACTGATATGATCTCAAGATACTCATTTGAAGATGGTAGACGAACTAGGAATTGTAACATTATTTTCACATCCCAAGTAATATAGCTTGCAATTTTGCACTCTGTCATCTAACACTACTCAGAAAATTGAAAGATAATCTCTTCTTATTGGATGTAGTTTGTGCTGCATTTGAAAAGATGCTAT